CTAGGGGAATCTGTTTAGTTGATGAGATATTGAGTACACCAGTAACGTAATAATCTTGCAAGTTTCATAATATCAAAATCAATGCAACTATTTCTATACAAGAAAAGATTTTTTATAAAACAATCTTTTCCCGGGATAACCGCAACCCATTTAATCTCCGGGATAAAACTACATCAAATAAATATTATTTGAGGAGTTTGTGATTATTTTAACTTTATGTATCAAAAATGTTATAATGATATTTCTGCACAAGAAAAAATTACATGCATCTGCACGTTTCTCGGGGAAACCAGTTCAATCTCGGGTATAAAACGTACAAGTATATAAAAAGTAAGTATAAGTATAATATTTTTTTCTATTATTAGAAATTATTACTTATGTACATATACTAATGTTTCAATGCAATACTATCCTCATAATTCAAAAAAAAATATTTAGTTATATATCCTTCTTCGGGTGAATTCTTTCATTTTACGGGCTACTGCATTTCAAATAGGCCCGTTGAAAATATGCACCAAGTCAGACTCCTATTATATATAACGAATGGAAAATACAACAAGTTCCTATCATTAATTACTAAGTTCAAGATCATCTGTAATTATCTAAATATTAACATATTTTATATTTCAAATAATTAGGTATATTCTTTATAAAAAAAAACAAGGTAAGGCTATGAGTTTTATCACTATTCGAGTACGTGAATAAAAAATTCGGAATTAAAATTCATTAAGTAAATGTAAAGTAAAGAATATTCAGTAACCAAAAACAAGCAATGTCATTGTCTATAATAATCACAAACTCCTCAAATAATTCTTTATGCGTATTTAGCTTGTTTATTCTTAGTTTATATGCTGTAGTTAATTTATGTACTGTAATATTAAAAGTAAATACTCTCTCTAAGAATCAGACAAAAAGAACCCAGGACCATAACACTCCATTTCCTTGCTTTTGAGAGAACACTATCTACGACTCAATGGTAGCGTTCAACATCATACATATACATTAACCGTACACATACACACCGAAACCTATTTTATGATTATTTGATCACCAGAAATCGATATTTCATTGACCTTAATAGTTTATAATATATAGTTTATAGGCAGTGGTAGCCCAGTGGTAACGCGCTCGCTTGGGAAACCGAGTGAAGCGGGTTCAAATCCCGGGTCTCGCACCTCTGATATTTTCATGTGCGAATCATTTCTAACATGATTACCACTTGCCTTACGGTGAAGGAAAACATCGTGAGGAAACCTGCATGACTGAGAAAACCTTGCAAGTTTTCGAAAGACATGTGAAGTCCGCCAATCAGCACTTGGCCAGCGTGGTGGACTATGGCCTGATCCCCCTCGTATGAAGGGAGGCCCGTGCCCAGCATTGGGACGTTAAAAGAGCTGAATACAATAGTTTATAAACAAATATTGAATTATTTTATTAAAGCTAAACATTTATTATTAATTTTGATTGATGATGATGTTCTCCTAGCCGATTCCGGCCACGGCGGCCAATCTCAATGAGATTAGCCAACTGCGCAGGAGATATTATAGTGCTCAAGTGTACGCGCAGACACAAATGCACTCTCTATTCCTATCACTCTCATACTCCGGTGGGACGACCACTCGACACGACCGGTGAGAGTTAAGGCGCAGGACCGACGGCTTTACGTGCTCTCCGAGGCACGGGGGTGAAACACCGCCAACTTCCCAACTCCGGGCTGTTACTGAGACTTACTATACAGGAAGACTCAATAACTAAACTTGGCCCGACCCGGGACTCGAACCCAGGACCTCCGGGTGTGCAGCCGTACATGCTAGCCACTATACCACCGAGGCAGTTAATACTACGGAAGCATTATGTATGAAAAATGGCACGTCTTCCGATTGACCGATACATTCTTAGTCTCTCTAGTGTAAGTGAGGCAAGATACACATTGGACTGGATGGACTTCGCTGTATTAATATTTAGTATAAATACGTACATAATATTGAGTAGTGTATTAAAATGAGTTAATTTTTTTGTGTTTGTACATCCCGCTTTAATATAATAAAATTATTTATATAATATAATAGAAAATGATAAGTAAAGTACAAAATTAAAAGTATTATTATAAATAATATTGTAATTTAATTACAGTGCTAAATATAAACATATAAAATTAATTAAATCACTGCCTGCGTCTCCGCACGGCCCTTTCAACTTACTGTTAGTAGGTTTTGTAAGTTCCATTTTACAGTCCTATTAAATTAATCATAAAAAAAACAGATTTTTAAATCGCATATATAGCTAAAATTGTTCATAATATATACCTACTATAATAAAGCCGTAACTTAGCGAAATCTGTACATGAAATATTTCTTTAAAAACAATTACTCTAACGTATTATGTACACAATATAGACCCCAAAACAATAGTTATTAAAAAAATTCTTTGTTTGTCTGTATTTCTGTTTGTCTGCTTGTGTGTGTGCGTTTTACGCAAAAATAATGAATCGATTTTAGCGAAATTAGATGAAGTGATAACATATTACTCAAAGAGAGAGATAACAAATTTTAGTTTTCCAGTTTTATGTTTGGTCAAGTTAAAATTTAGTTAACATTGTGAAATTAAATTAAACTTTATTCAATTAGGCTTATTATAAGCACTTTTATATGTAATGTATTAACTTTTATATGATGATTACAATATAATAATAGTACAATCCATATTTCCATACTAATATTATAAATGAGAAAGTGTGTTTGTTTGTTGTCTTTCTTTCACGTCGAAACGGCTTGGCTGATTTGCGTGATTTTTTGTGGGGAGATAGTTGGAGGGCTGGAGAGTGACATAGGCTACTTTACCACGGGAGATTATCTCTTTTCCACGGAAAAACACATTATAGTACAATCCAAAAAAATATGTATGATCAGAATTTCTTGAAACTTGGTATAAATTCTCTTCAATACAATTAATTAAAAACGTGTTTTAGCATTTTTCGAAATTCATCCCATAAGGGTGTAAAATAGCGGATGAAAGTTTGTATGAAACCAACCATTTTGTTGTGATGAGTTCCGAGACAGACAGACATACCAAAATTATAAAAAAAACTATAGATCGGCTTCTGTATCGCTATCGATAATAATGACTATTTCAATAAGATTTTCCAAAAAAAAAACTTAATGTACAGACGACTCAGTTAGAAATTTATTATATGTATAATTTATTATACCTATCCATCCGTATATCCATCCTTAATACCTTGATGTACGTAGTATAGTTATTCTATTACGCGTAACGTACATTTTATAGCCAAGTTTAAATGCTCAAACGGACTGGTTTACATTCATTTGAATAACACGTTTGTTTATGAACGTAAATAAATATTGAAGTTAAGGGATTTTTATATTCACAATAAATAAGAATTAATTATGACCTTAAAAATTGTTTCATTTATTAGGTACATTATAAGACCAACGCTTCATTTCATTCCTTTTCGTTGGAACTAATAATATTTTTTAATTTTTTGAAAGAAATAGATTAAATACATGTATCTACATGTTATGTAACAGTAAGAAAATATTTTAAGATTATTTAAATGCTTTCTAATTTAATAGGTTTTTTTTTTAATTTTGACCGCACTTAATATTTCAGACGATATTTGTGATGTGAACTTTGTTAAAACATAAACAGAACATATTAATTATACTGGTACCTTTCCATTAAGGCTCTTTTAAATACCTGTGGAAAATTTCGTTTCGGAATATGGTATTTATTTTACTCTTATTTGTAATCGAGTTACGGCGTAATAGTACAGTGCTTGGTCAGTGTAACCTATATAATTAATATATATGTACATTATATCATCTTACGGTCCATCCCAATAACCTATCTATCAATACTTCTCATTACTAGAAATAACGTTTTGACATAATTAGTATAAAGCATATGGCAAATTTCTATCACTAGTACGGAAAGCGGCAGTTAGATAGGTTATTGGGAATCATCGTTAGAATGCATACAGTTTAATTTTTACATGGAACGGTCATGTTGATGGTTAATTATCATTTACGTCATACACTTCATTTCGTCCTGCACAATCATTAAAGCATGTTATATTTAATTTTTACTTGGTATGCAATTATCACACTTATGTACTGAGTTAATTAAAATATGGATGTTTTTATAAACACGTGTCCCATTAATCAAAAAGGATTTTGCATTGTTAACTAAGTATGAATAATTATACTGTGCACAGGCACTAGTATAACAGTATGTGATCTGTGGTATAGGCTAATGCAAGCTAAACATGTCGATACGATCAGTATTGTTACTTTATATTCTTTGCACTTCGACCCCTTACACTGAATCAGTTGCTTCGAAAAGCTGGTCCAGCAGCAATGTTTTGCAGTAATAATAATGTTCTTCTGCACGATCTCAGCCAAACCGGCCAATCTCACTAATATTAGCCAGCTGCACAGAACATACTAATATAGTACACAAGTATGCACGCACACACGTGCACACTCTATTTTTTACCAGACTCGTGGCTCGAACCCAGGACCTCCAGATCTGCAGCCGTATATACCACCGCGGCTGTTTAATTAACAAAACTATTACTACTACTGCATTACATACACTTACATACTACAATATGTGGATTAAAATCCACATTTTATTTTAGCAAAACCAGAACGATATTGTGAATGCTTAATAAGAATTTGCAAAGAAAATGTTATAGTTGTTCTAATTCTATTGGAGGTGAACAAATCGCAACTCTACTTTTTTACTATTATCGTTTGAATTAAATAATATTAAAGTAAATATAATGAATTACTATGTATTTATTTATTTATGTAATAGGTATATACTTTGTATATCTCAAGTATAATTAATTGAAATAAAATTATTCAACCTTATTTAGCAAAAGGCCAACTGTCAAAATATCTCCACTTTCAAAAGTGTTGTGTTGTAAAATTGGAAAAGTCATAATTTAAAGTGTAACATGACTTTTTTTTAACATAATGAAACGACAAAATCAAAATGTTAAATCTAAAAAGGCTTATCCGATTCTGAAAAATCGTATTAAAACATCATGTGGTGAAGACAATAACAATTATTTAGAAACGCTTCAAGAAGAAGTAAAACTTAATTTAGCAGAAGAAATTCAAGAACCTTATCAAAATGATTCCCTTAAATTGGAAATAGAGAGATTTATAGAGATATCGAAATATTTCTCAAGTCCACTGCGAAAAACTGCGTCGTATGTTTGCGAAATGCAGCTTGTATCCTATCCAAACCCTTATCGAATAGAATACAAGAGAGCAGGAGTTACAAGCCAACATTTAAAGTTCAGTAATTTGACTCTAGAGCCAGTTTATATAAAGCTCTATAAAATAGAACCAGATATAGAGCAAATTAAATTCATGAATTTGTCATTAGCAAGATACAAGAGAATTCCACCAGGATTATCCTTTAACTTGGGATTTGTCTACGATGATCTTAACGAAAGACCGTCACGAAATGCGAAAATTATTTTTGTTGCTTCTAGAAAGACAACAACACCTTGCTACCAAATATGTGAAATAGAGATTATAATTAATGCTCAAAAGGTTAGACTAGTAACTGTGTAACTTAAATTGTCTTGTTTTTATAAAAGTATAATATAATTAATTACGCTATTTTTCTCATTACAATAAAAAGTGACTTCAAAAAACACACTAAAAAGGAAAAAAATAACGGACAGATTTCAAATCGGTTATTATTATTTTTTTTCAAAGTTTTTATTTTTCCCTTTTTAGTTTAGACATAGTAGTAGCAAAGTAAGAAGGAAGTATTTTAATAAAATATTTGCTTAAGCCGTTTAAGTTAGTTTGATGCCAATTTTTATATGAAGACTGACAAATTAAAATTCGCTTCTATTAGTAACACTAAAAATTCTGGCCCTAAAATCCAACTCTAACGTATTGGGCTTCTCAAATCAAACAAAATAAGCTCAAACTCAAAGTATCTACTATTAGCCGTTGAAGAGTTCCACCTATCCACCTTCTGGCCTTACCATGAGATCAACTCGACGATACCAAACCACTGCACTATCAACGGAAATAGAAACACTCGCAAAGTTTTAAATCAATATGATAATTACAAGTAGTTTAAATTCACCATTAGCAATTTTCCACCTTTAGGGATGGTATTTTTTTTATTTAAATGAGACCAATCTCAAAGTATACACTTTCAAACAAAACTAAAATTATCCAAATCGGTTAATAAATGACAGAGTTCTGAGGTAACAAACATAAACAAACATAAAAAATAGCCGAATTGAGAACCTCCTCCTTTTTGAAGAAGTCGGTTGAAAAATATGTGTTCTGTAGATCTGTTTGCTTTGTAGATGTTTGTTTTAAAAATGTATAAAGTTCATATAAAATAAAACTTATTTAAACTTAAATTTAGACCAAGGACCAATTTAACTGGCAACGTTACAGATATTTATTTATATATTCTTTTTAGTCAAATCCAAGTTATGTTTTATTAATTATTTATTTATCCTCGTAAGTCCTCGCGTACTTAAGACTATGCAGGATATATTCGTCAAAGTCAAAATGAAAATATTTTATTCAGCATTAAATTATTAATTTTTTTTACTGAACATCATGAGTCTACTACAGAATTGATAAAAATCATGATTTAGAAAAAACATAATAATATTTACATATTCCAATATTTTTTCATTTAGAAGTCGGTTATTATTAAAAAAAAACATTTCAATTATAAAATAAAAAACCAACATTGCAGTTCTTCTAAAATTATTAATATTAGTCACATTATTAATAAAATTCGAAGAAAAAACAACAAAGAAAAATTAATAAAATCAACAACTTAAAATTGACATTAACCGTTTGGCATTACTGCAGTCGCCTTCACTTAGCTTATTTTGATGTTTATTTTCTTACTGGTTACGTACATAATTTTTACAATTTTTTTTAAATTAAAACTAATTTTCACGCATGTGTGCGTCATAGTTTATGTCGGGGAAGTAAATTGTCACTTTTTGATTGATTTTGTTAGAAAGGGATTGATTTAAATCAACGATTAAAAAAATGCACTTGATTTTAATCGCGATTTAAATCACTGATTAAAATCAGGTGATTTAAATCATCTCAACCCTAGTCTACTGTCAGTTGGGAAAAAAGTACCCTCAGATGGCAGACTTTAGAAGAATTGGTAAAAGAAACTCAGCGTGGTTTTGTATTTTTAGTAATCTATACATATAATGAAATTGCAACTAAGCCGAACATGTACATTAAATATTTTTTGAAAAGTCTTATTGAAATAAACATTATTATCGATACAGAGGCCGAATCTGTAGTTTTTTAGAATTTTTGTCTGTCTGTCTGTTACCGCATCACAGAAAACTCCACTGGAAGGATTTTGATGAAATTTGATATGGTGATAGCTGGTTATCCGGGTCAACATATAGGATACTTTTTACCGCGGGAAAATATCTCATTTCTGAGAAAAAATACAAAAACTGCAATGTAAGAGTATGTATACCAATATGTAAAACGTAAGAATTTGGTTTTTGGTCACCTGAACGCGGGCGGAGCTGCGGGCTTATTATAATTATTGTGCAATAATTAATCTGTAGAATGCTAAATGTTGACTCAATATTGAGTGTAAAGCATTTTCCACTGGTATCATATTGCAATTAAATTCGATAGCATAAATTTCGTATCTAACTTCGATCCCGTTACCTTCTATAAAGTGCATACAGGCGATACAGTTATCGGTTTACAAAAATCTTTGTATTTAGTTTCATATTCGTAGGTAGTGTATTGAACCTTTAAGTACTTTAATAAAAACGGACTTCTATGCTTGACCAGTGGGAGACTTTCGTAAAAAATCTTTATATATATAATTCTTCTGTGAGTGTGTATGTCACTGAACTTCTCTCAAACGACTGGACCGATTTTGATGAAATTTTTTGTGTGTTCAAGGGGATCTGGGAATGGTTTAGATTCACAATTTGAATAATAATTTTCATCAAAAAAAATATTAAAAAAAGTTTGAAATATTTCAAATTAAAGACGTGTAGACAGGACAACGTCTGTCGGGTCCGCTAGTATTGTATAATATTTAACATTGATATACAAAAACTCAATTAGCGTCTCAGAGTGTCCTCCAAAAAGTATCGAATTGTATGAGCAACAGAGCAGACGTCCGAAATGTCAGTATTCACTTAGAACCTTAAAAGAAGGATGGTATTCCATCCTTTTTTTAATACCTATTGGTATCATATTTTCGATAAGTAAAAATGTTAATTGATAAATTTTTGTACTATATATAATAAATAAATACTTATTACAAAATATAACGAGCATTATTTGATTTTTATTTAATTTGGTTTTTTTTATATATATAAGTCGATATTATTATACGACTAATTTTTAATAAAACAGTAAATTACAAAGTCCTTATATACTTGGTCGCTTAATAACAAGACACGGAAAAATATTAACCCGTTTTCATTTCATCATAAACGAATACTTTATTACATATTTGAAATAAATAAACCATGATGTAATGAAAAAAATAAATAAATGCAGTATTAAGTTTCATTTTTACTTTAAAATAATTTTATTATATTTAAAGGTGAAAGACATTACAATAACTTTAATTCACATTTCTAATAATAATATGATGCCTACAGCAATATTATTAAATTAATAAAATAAAATAAGACAAATTTAAAAACGTCACTTATCGCACATTGTATTCATACGCATAGGCATGTTTTTATATATCAATGGTATGGATATATGGAATAACACATCTGTCCCGCAATTTTACGTAAGAAGTAACAAACAAACATAGATACATACATACATACATACATACATACATACATACAAACTCGCGTTTATAATAATAGTGTTGTTTTTTATTCCTTACAGATCACAGTGTAACATATAGCGCATAGTACCTACTATCTTATAATGAATAACCATAATATTAGGGCTATGAAAACAGTTTTATATTAAAGAAAATGGGTTCAATAATCGCTATCTATTTGGTTGGATATTATCTTGGCAGTAACAAACAATAAATATTATGATGATGATGATGTTTTCCTGACAGATTCCGGCCACGTCGGCCAATCTCATTGAGACTAGCCAACTGCGCAGGAGATATTATAGTGCACAAGTGTACGCGCAGACACAAGGGCACTCTCTATTCCTGTCACTCTCATACTCCGATGGGACGACTACTCGACACGACCGGTGAGAGATAAGGTGCAGGACCGACGGCTTTACGTGCTCTCCCAGGCACGGGGGTGAAACACCGCCAACTTCCCAACTCCGGGCTGTTACTGAGGCTTACTATACAGAAAGACTCAATAACTAAACTTGGCCCGACCTGGGACTCGAACCCAGGACCTCCGGGTGTGCAGCCGTACATGCTAGCCGCTACACCACCGAGGCAGTTATATTATATATATGACTCCAAGAATGATCGATTTTTTTTTGTATTGACAGAACAGCACTGTCAGAACTAATATAGTAGCGCAAATGGACTAAAGGCAAAGGTGTATTTTATTTAATAGGCGGCAATATATTGAGTATGGCATAAAATGATCTACGCTATCATTAACTCTATAATTGTAGGTCAAATAGTAAGTAAAAAAATACTAGAAATATATCAGTTGTGACTGATGTTAATATAGCTGTTACGAGTTACATCGGTTATTTACATGACGGATTTATTAACTAGCGACTCACTCTCGCTTCGCTTGGGTCCGTCCCTACTTACGTTTTAACGTTTAGTACTTATAGATTTCTCAGAGATGAGTAAAAATTATTCTTCATTTCGACCCGGATAATCAGCTATTATCATACCAAATTTCATCAAAATCCCTCCATTTTTCCGTGATGCGGTAACTGACACACAGACAAAAATTCTAAAAACTATAGATTTGGCCTGTGTAACTGTATTAATGTCTATTTCAATAAGATTTTCCAAAAAATATTTAATGTACAGATTCGGCTTTGTTACAATTTTATTATATTTATGGAAATAAATATAATCAGGAACGATGAAATTCAAAGACGTAGTCAGAAGTTATCAGTGGTCTTCGAGGTATGAATTCTAATTCCCCTCGAGCATATCCACCAAACACAGTGGCCACCACGATGTTTAATGAATTACTGACAGTCTAATCCCGTTACATAGCTTAGGTGACTTTTTCGTTACAGTTGTGCCAACCTTCAGAAGGAGGATATAGATAGCAGAATACTCTAGCTAGGTACTCTCTCTCTCTCTCTCGCTCTAGGTCTGTTACAGTTTTCACTTCTTCTTCTTCTTAAAGTGCCATCTTCTTTCGAAGGTCGGCGATCATTAAGGCAACTTGTATCTTTGATGCCGCAGCTCTGAATAAGGAACGGGTGCTTTTTCCAAACCATTGGCGTAGGTTTTTTAGCCAAAATGTTCTTCTTCGACCCACATTTCGTTTTCCTTGGATCTTTCCTTGTATGATGAGTTGTAGTAGGTCGTATTTTCGGTTTCTCATTATGTGGCCGAGATATTCAAGCTTTCTTTTCTTTACTAAGTATAAAACTTCAGGTTTTTTCTT